ATTTTCAGGTTGGACAAAAGTGGTAAGTGGTGTCCCTCAGGGTTCTGTTTTGGGACCACTTCTATTTAACATATTTATAAATGATCTTGAAATAGGCATTCCAAGCCATGTATCAGTGTTTGCAGATGACACAAAATGTTGTAAAGTAATAAAATGTGAGCAGGATATTGCTTTGCTGCAGAGGGATTTGGATAGATTGGGGGACTGTGCACTAAAATGGCAGATGAAATGTAACGTAGAGAAATGCAAAGCTATGCACACTGGGGTTAAGAATGCACAAGCAACTTACACACTAAATGGTAGTGAATTAGGGATAACCACACACGAGAAGGATTTGGGAATTGTTATAAACAACAAATTAGGCAGCAATATGCAATGTCTATCTGCAGTTGCTAAGGCCAGTAAGGTTTTGTCATGTATAAATAGGGGCATAAATTCTCGGGATGAAAATATAATTTTGCCACTTTATAAATCACTGGTAAAACCACACCTTGAATATGCTGTGCAATTTTGGGCACCTGTTCTAAAGAAAGATATCATGGCACTAGAAAAAGTCCAGAGACGAGCTACAAAATTGATAAAAGGAATGGAGCATTTTAGTTATGAAGAAAGGTTAAAAAAATTAAATCTCTTTAGTTTGGAAAAACGGCGCCTGAGAGGGGATATGATAACTTTATACAAATATATTCAGGACCAGTACAAACCTTTATCTGGAAATCTATTCATAAACAGGGCTATACATAGGACACAAGGTCACACATTTAGGCTGGAAGAAAGGAGATTTCATCTAAGGCAAAGAAAAGTTTTTTTTACAGTAAGAGCAATAAGGATATGGAATTCTCTGCCTGAAGAGGTGGTTTTGTCAAAGTCATTACAGATTTTTAAACTGCAATTGGATAAATACTTACAAAAATATAACTGTAACGAAATCCCTTATTAAACAGACCATGCAAACCAGCCTGTTTGGTTATTTGGATGGTTACAGAGTGATTTTGTGCAAACAGCGAGAAAAACAAATAAACTACCGAACCACCCGACCTCCCACTGAGGTCGTGTGGCGCCTATTAACCACCCAGACTGTTGCGGTTAACCACAGAATAATTGGGGAATAGCTGGTGGTCCGCGTTCGTTTACCGAACACGTGGCAATCACCATTTTGGATTGTCGAAAGCTCAGCGGTAAATGGCGAGGATTCCCTGGAACTAATTTCGGCTACTTATTTTGTCGAACACCGCTGCTACCTCTTCAAATCCTCGTTCGTACGGTGGAAAAATACACGAATGAAGGAGATACTGCTTCATTCATGCGCTGGAAGTATGTGAAAGTGACCGACCCCAGATAGCTACAGTATGGAACTTGTAGTCGGCTACAAACACACGAACGGCCGGCGAAAGCCAAACTTCAGTCGACGTTTCTGAGAACTGTGTTCGTGGGATCTGAGCGCTATTCGCCTAGAATATGCACTCAGATCCAAGCTATCTGGGGATATGTGGAACTTAAGGTTTATGTTATGTAAAATGAAAGTTATAGATTTTTATGCTGTTTTGCTAAAATAAGAAAAGCCATGTTTCTTTCTACCTGGAGATAATTAAGGCTCTCTTTGCTACCTTAAGTTAATTATCTCCAGGATGGAAAAGAGGGAGTGATTTATGTAAAAGGGGAGTGCTTACTGTGATACTGTGCTACTGTGATACTTTTGTCCCAGTCTTCCATCTGGTCCCCTAGGGGAGTGACCTGCATAAATACCGGGCGGGTAGCCCACAGCAAATCAGATCGTTTTACCCCTTCATGAAGTCTCGACTCATGTTTGGGGGATTGGGAGTTATAATCACTTCGTTTCAGCTGGATTTCGGGAGAAGCTGCAAGGATCATCGCTGCACGAATAGAAGGATCCATTACAATAACATACAGGGATATAATTTCTAATTAGTGGGGTAATAGCTGCTTGATCCAAGGAGACATCTGACTGCTATTTTGGGGTCAAGAAGGACATTTTTTCCTAGTTTGTGGCAAAATTGGAAGCACTTCAGACTAGGTTT